GGGGGAGCCGGCCGCCTGTCCGGCCGGTCGGCCGTCTGTCCGGCCGGCCGCCCTCCGCTCAGCCTCCCCTCCCTCCCTGCCTCCCCGCTCAGGTAGCGCTGCTGGACCGCAACTCCGAGGCCGGGCAGGAGAGCAAGGCGGCCCTGGCCGAGCAGTTTGAAGCGCAGAGGACGGTGTTCATCCAGTGCGACGTTACGGACCAGGAGCAGCTGAAAGGTAAGAAGGAAACTGTCAGCGCTGTGCTCCGGCTTAACGTGCAGCAACCTGAAAGAGCCCGGGCTGCTGCACCAATAGGTGTGCAATTTAGGTTTCTGGAGGACAGCCTACTCCCGATCGCTCCTGACAGTCCCTCGAAAAGGATTTGCTCCTGAACCTGCAGATTTGAAACATTGCTACCAGCGTGCGTGTATTTCACCGTGTTACTCGGCACGTTGTAAAGAAAAGCCAGAGAAATCGGATTCGTTGAGTGCTGTCTGTGATATTTTTGCATGAAAGCCTCTGCAGAAAATAATTGTTATTTTATGAGTAATATATATAAACTTTAAAGCACGGACTTGCTTTTTATGAGGCTTCAGTACAGACTCCAAGCTGTATTCCCTCATCACTGGAGTAATAAATTCTGCTCTGGTTGCTGTGCTCTTTCCATACAGCACACTTACTTTCAACGTGTGCCGCTGTAGCTGAAAGCAGAATTGGGAAAAGATGGCACGCTGCTTTATCACGGTGTTAAATGTGGGTTGACAACACTTCACACACATTTGGCCGATGCAGGGAACGGCAAGGAGCTTCCCTCATGTATGATTTGCACTTATGTTTTCACTCAGGGAATAAATCGTGTTCCCTACGGAGTTCTTAGAGGATCGTATAATGTTGATGTACCCTTCACAATATTTCACAACAGGCACTGTCACTTCACCAGAGTTTCATTATTAAATGATACATTCATGGATAGTGACTCAGATTCAGATTTTGACATCACTTTTGTCAGTGCCCTTTCCCCAGATTCATTTGTGTCATGCTAGATGTGAGTATTTTTAGTTCTGCTTTTATTCGCTACACTTCACTGGCTGCTTCCCCAACAGCGGTCATTGGGCATACCCATTCCTCTTTCACAAAACATTGCAGCTAGTCCAAATTCAGCAATACTGTTCACTGCTCTGAGCTAGCATGATTATGCCTAATTCCAAAGCTTTACACTGTCCATAAGAGAGATGCTGGACTTTAAATTTGAGATCTGCTCTAATCAGCAAAGTTTATATCAGCTAGGTTGATTATTTACTTTTTCTCCAAGTGAGACGAGTAACCTAGGAGCAAGAAAAAGCATCCTAGGGGTAGGAATAGCATGTGCTGCAGCATGGGTGTTACCCCAGTGTGCTTTCTCTCCCATGATTCCTCCTCTCTTTAGTGCCAGGCTAGTGCAGGACCAGCAGGGTGTGCGCTGGGAACTGGAGTGAGCGGGATGGGTCAGCGAGGGAGGTTTTGGAACCAAGTTAGTAGGAAAAGAGCAATCAGAGTAGGATCAGAATGGGCTCTCACAAGGAGCAAGAGCAAGAACTGGCGGTTGCTGCTTATGCTTCTCTGATACTGCATTATTCCTGCTGCAGGTTTCTTAGCATAAAATTGCAATCGTGTCCTACAATCCTTTGGGGTTTCTGGGGTATTTTTTAGTGGTTTTGTTGGTTGGGGGTTTTTTTACTGCTTTACCTTCCTGCTATTTTCATTTGTAATTGCAAGCCACCACTTAATAAACTTGGATTAATTTCACTCCTAGTGTTTAAAGTTCTTAGTGGATGCTTCAAATCCTGTACTTGCTTTTTATGTTAAAGGTCATGTGCATGAATGAAGTTCCTCTTACTTTAACCTCAGCCTTTTCAGTACGAAACAAGTCACAGTACTAAAACTAGTATCTGTAGGTACATAATGCTTATGGGTAGGAAATCAGCTGCTTCATCTACATTCAAGTCTTGCCTGTGTTTTTTTCTCTGGTGGCTCTTTCACATAGTCCCCCACAAAAATCTTCTATCTTGTCCCACTTTTGAAAAATCACAGCACATCTACTTTTGCTTTCTTTCCATGAATATTTAGGAATTTCACATGAAACCAGTGTTTGTAGTTACTTTCCACTGTTTTTCTTACCTTTCCTTTAAAATGGATGCTCCTTTTCATCTTTCTTCATTCGGTATTTCATATGATCAGCTGCTTATCATTTTCATGATTCCATAAGCACTAACTAGTGTGCAATGTAAACATAAAATTATTCTACGTTTAAAAGGGGAACAACAAGTCAGTTTACACTGATGTGTGGATGATAACTTTATTAAGAATTTATAATGAGATTCTTCTTTTTGTGGATAGGTAATAGATGGGATTACCGTAGGCAGGTAAACTCTTACCAGAAATATTCCAAATTTGATAATCATTCTTTATTTTAACATAGATATGCAAACAGCTGAAAAGCATTTGGCTCTTTTCTCAATGTGTAAACTAGAAAACTACAATTAGTCAAGACTGTGTGAATTTAATAAACAAATAATTGGCTAAAGTACCATTATCCATGGTGGTTTTTGAAGGCAAAAGATTCTATTAAGAATGAGGTTGGTGAAAGATGCTATTCCAAGAAGGCTTAAAAGGGAATCCGAGAGCCAGTTTCCATAATTTGGAAGCTGATTGAGGACCCAAATTGTATTTATTTTGCTTATTGAAACTAATTTAAATGATCAGTTCTGCTCCTAATAAAGCCACAGGTTTTCATTTGCCCTTGCTGATGCAGGATTGGAAAGATGAGAAGTAATTGAAGAGTTAAATTGAGAATCCAGAGAATGAATTAGCAACAAACACAACAAAAGCCAAAAAGGCAGACAGCCAAAAATAGAGGCTTTAGTAATATTAAAATATTCTAGTACAGAATAAGAATATTAGAAAAATCTGTACAATAAAGGCAGTTGGACAAATAAAACCTTTCCCACCAGCTGCCCAGTTCTTGTTCTGATGACAAGATGATGGCTGTGATGGACCTGCAGCATTCAGGCAAAGAAAAGGCTGTAACAGTACCGACCATCTGGTGCAAGAACAAAAATCTGTAAACCCTTGCAACCACTGCAAAAAAGGTAGATGTCTCAAAGCTGCTGCTATGCTCCCAATTGACACTAATAGCCAAAGACTAAAGATCAGAGAATTAAGATGGTGAAGTGGTTTCATTAAGTCCTGTTGAGCATAATTCCAATATACCTGAAATACTCTACTTTTTCAGTCAGTCACCAAAGGATGTTTTTTAAAACAATATTGGGTGGGTGGGTGAGTGGGTGTGTCTTGGTTTACATAATAACAAATATTTAGTGATGAGGAACAATATTTGGAAGGGAAAACAAACAAACTATATATACATGTCAGAATACATGTCTGCAGTCATGGAAAATCTTAGTCTGGAATGAACATCTGGAGGTCATCTCATCCAACTATCCTGTCAAAGCATGGCCAGCCTAGATGAGTTTGCTCATCAGTATGACATCATGATGTTTTTCCATACACATCTTTTATCTTACTTTGAACACTGTCACCTGGGAGAACACAATGTCATTGTGGAAGTTTCCCAGTTCTTTATTTTGAAATTCTTTGGAAGACAGATCACCATTTTCATCAACAGAAGGAAGAAGATTTGAATTTGAGAAACACTTTATTAAAATTACCTGACAAGTAGGATGTATAATAATTTATTCATAATGAATGGATTTAAACATAATAAATGAATTTAAACAAGAACTATTATGAATTATTTGTAGTTGAAAGATTCATATTAGCTATACCACTGAATAAGAATTGCTCTCTTAGGTTAAATTCAGACTCAACCAGGAAAATTGTTCCGAACACGTGAAGCTTTTTTTTCATTTAAAATGGATGGTGCCGAATCTTGAATTCACTAGCTGTATCAAACAGTTACAAATCAAGCTATAAATGCTTAATTTATATAATTAGGGTGCCAAACATCCTATCTAATACAAAAGGTATGGGTGCTAAGCTCTTCATTACCTCCTGTTATCAGGCTTTATAAAACTGAATGAAAAGGCAACTATGGTATCTTAATCCCTTCAGTTTTCCTGAATATGTTTAATATTGGTGAATGGTTAGATAAAGAATTTAATTGCAGGTTGCTCATTAGTGGTTAAGAAGACAATGAAGACATTGCGGTAGACTAATAAAACATTATTTGTATGCATGCATTGTATTTTTATATCTTACTTTCCATAAGGGCTAAGAAATTTCACCCTTGGATCTTACTATAGGTGCTTTCAAAAAAGTAATTGAACATTTTGGAAGGCTGGATATTGTGGTTAATAATGCTGGAGTGAACAATGAGAAGGACTGGGAAAGCACTATACAAATTAACTTGGTAAGCATTATCTCCTTTCACATGGTCATACTTCAGTATTTAATGCTGCAATACACTTACCCTTGGCTGGTACAGATTATGCCATATGACAGAACATTAATTATTGGATGGCAAGCACAGCAATTGAAACAACAACCATGTAACTGCATATATACTGATAAATGTGTGTGCGGTGGGTCCTTTACGTTGTCTATCCAAGATGTACAGCGCTGTGTAGAGGTACTCAGGCTAACATCAGACAACATTCTTTCTATAAAACCCAATGAAATCCCAGGTAGGCGTAATAATTTGGTGCCCAAAGCAGTAGAGTTGCACCTACAGGAGGCCAGTCTGTTTATATGAATGTTTTAGAACATTTTAATTACTTGTGAGACTCAGCTGGCCTGCATTTGAGAATAAATTGCCATTTGTTGGTGTTACAAGAAAACTTGTTCAACCAAGAGCTCCACATTTTCTCTGCCCATGAAGCAAGCATACAATCTGAGCTTTTAATATAAGCCATCTCACCATCGTCACTGATAGAAGCACACCACTTAAGAGCACTTACTCGCTAAAACCCAGTACATTCAACAAGCCTGTAAAATTTCTTTTCAAACAGACTATTACAATTTCTTTGATATTACCTGGTATCTCATCAGGTAAGACCACAATATCTGTTTCTCAGATGAAAATTTTTAAATTTAGACTACACTGCTAGGAGATCTAAGCTCCAAAGGAAAGACCAGCTTTCTAGGTTAATAAAATTCTGACCAGCTTGTATTCTACCACCTGTGAAGTTCTAATTCGATGGTGACTCAGCAGGTCAAGTCACCCCTATGACCAAAACTCGACAAAGTGTTATGATCTAGATCGGCAAAGAAAATAGCAAAAGGAAGCTTGGAAGAGTGCAATGTGCATTTTTCTCCAATCAGTCATTTGGAATTTGTCAACACAACAGTAAAGCTCAGGATAAGAAAATCAGACGTTCATTTTTGTCAAAAGTTTTAAGGACAAAGGTACCCAAGTCTTTGAATCCTAATGCCTCCATGAAAACAAACTAACAAAAAAAAAAAAAAAAAACCAGAACAAGTAACACAAGCTGTATATGAGACACGTTATAGAAAAATTAATGGGAAAACATGTATTTGAAAAAAAAAGTTAGATTTAATAATAATTTTTCTTGATCTTTTATAGCTCTCCAAGGTCAAATTTGTTTATTCTTGGAAGGGACTGAACTGAGACCACAGATTAAAATTTCCACAATAAGAGAAATACATTTGTTCAATTTCTTTTGCCTTTTCCTTAAATCTTCTTTAAGATTTAACTACACATATTTCTTCATCCCTCTTTCATTTCAAAAATATTCTGACAAATTAAACATCAGGAAACTTCACATTGTGAAGTAACAGGAGTGTGACATCCTCAGTGTTATGCAACATCAATATCTGTTAGTACAGATCCTTTGAATTTGAAAGAAGACTTTACCTGTGTTCTAGATGACTGACTTCTCTTTATTTTTGTGCCTGGTTTAACACAGGATATAAGTTACTGTAGGCAGCCATCCACCTGTCAAATTTGCAAGCACAGATAGTTAGTCATCACCAGAAAAATTGGTGAGAAACACATTTGTCAGTGATTCACCTTTATATTTAGCTCAAAAAATGAAGGAATTTCTGATCAGCAAATCTTGAAGATATTTAATGTCCAGGTAAATATCCTAATGTAGAGAGTCATGTCCAAACAATTTTTCAAATGCCAAGAGCTTCAAACAGTAGGCATTGACAATCTCCTTCTATGGTTCTTTTTGTCTTATCACCAGTGATTGGGCTGAAGCAGGCCATAGGGGGGTTTGAACCATCTCAAGCAGCAGAAAAACTGGAATCCAAGTCTTAGAAATCTATATGCTTAACTATCAAGCTACTGCTTGATCAAGCTAAAAATTTTTAAAAAAGGAGGGGAAGATTATATAGTTTATACACTGTTGTATAGGTAAGTTCACTATAACTGTCTTAATGACTTCATTCATAGTTGAAACTTGAAAAATTTCATTGATACATACTGGTGACTGGAATCAGAATATCTAAAATGATCAAGCAGAGTAGAAGCACAGCCATGTAGGTTAAACCAAGGACACTCTCAGATCCAAATATCCTCATTTATCTTTTGATTTGAATATTCTTACCCTGTCTAACCCTGAGTCAACTAAGTAGCTTACTTCTATAGGGCATTTCTATCTAGTTACTGTAATTTCCATAAAGGAAGATATAACATTTTCTACTTTTTACTTTTTAACTATAACAATGGAAGAAAAACAGCTGCTGCATGCGATATGTTATATTTCTTGGTTCCATAAAATATTTTTTGCTTCTTGCAGAGAAAGGAGCAAAATATGTATGAAATACATGATTTTAAAATGTCTCTATTTCCCTGACGTAGGACATTCTAAGCATCCTTTGTACTATCCCCAAGAACAGGAATAACTTCTACGGCCACACATTTTGATACACATTATGCACATATTTTCTATTTTTAAAAAGGGGAAAAAAAACCTCTACATGCCAGTCTTTGTCTTAGTGATATCATTTATATATTGATACAACAAATATTCCCTGCCCCAGTTTAAAGTACAAAGTACAAAAGTAGAGCAGTACGGGGCAAGATAAATCAGAACAAACACATATGGGGTGTGTTCTTTATGGCTAAAACAGTTCACAGAACCGGTTGGTCCTCAGGAATGTTTTTAAAGGAGTGCAAGGAAGTTCCCTGATAGCACTGCTTGAGAAAGCATGAGGAACAGAAAAGAAGCAGCAGGTTCAGAAAGTGGGACTGAATTTAGAAGGGAAAAGAGGGGGGAAAAAACCACAATTCCTGCTTGTATCCATTACAGTTTCCCAAGAGCGAGAAAAGACAGCTTGATAAAGATGGGAGGAAAAGAGTATCAACTGCTAAAAAGAGATTTCTGTTGCAGTGCTTTCCACTGTTTTGCTATATTTTGTGCTAAACAACATCCACCTTTTTGTTACTTTATTAATATTTCTATTAACTTTTTTAGTTAAGTATTCCAGCAATGCCATCCATTCCTCACCTCAAAACTCCCAAGCTGATAGTGTTAACTCAATCAGTATCAGTTTGATCAACGGCAGCCTCAACCACTCATACCCATACAAACATACAGTCTAGTTGTTATGGTATATAAAAAAAGATCTTAGCAACCATACAGGAATTCCATTTTAAATGGATATTACCAGTGCAGTTTCAACAGTCCATCACACAAACACGCCCCCACCCATGCACAGAATAGCACAAGGACATATGACACATACATTCTTATCAAGAGTCCTACCTACAGTCCTCCAGCATGACAAGAACAGTGTTTCTTGCAGTCAGCTTCATAAGAACTTATGCCTAAGGAATCCAGAAATTTTGTAATATGACTTTTTTCTCTTCAAGTCCCTAAAGAAACAGAAGTGCCCACATTTTAATACGCCTTGAACATATATGTGAATTAAAAACAATTTGGTGTTCTAAGAAGCTTCCCTAATTTTATCTTCTGTTGATGATGTAGGCTTTCTGGAACCACTGTAATTACAGTGGCTGCTATAATTACAGTATCTTTTCTCTTTACACTTAGCACATTTTATACCAAGACAATCCCAAAATTTACTTGGAGGTTCCTTTTTTATGCTCCTATGGGAGGTTTCTGAAAACTGACATAGGTTGCAGCATACAGTTAAATGTAGCAGTACTGGTATTACATATGCTTAGATTTTACATTTTACCTGAATCAAAAGTACAGAAGCACTTTACATGACATTTTGACTACCTCATTGTTTTCTTATGCCAACAAATTAATTATTTTGTAGGTATATTTAAACTGATTCCCCAAATGAAATTAAATAGACTCAAGAAAGCATTTGACAGTAAAATCACAATTATCTCCTGTTTATGTGATGATTTTGCACATTTTAACACATTATTTTGGCAAAACTTTAAATTGCAGGCCATAACTTGGGCATGGCAAAAAGACCCAGTCATATAGGATGCAATTAATTAAGTGTTGTCCAAAGAGAAGAAGGATTCAAATACATATGTAAAATTTGTTCAGGTGCATGACAGTCTCATCCTTCATTACTAGGCAAAATGTGGCCGTACCCAACAATTCCAAGTTTTTATATTTTTCATGGGTTTGCATAATTTATTTCTGTAAATGGCAAAGGTAAAAAGTTTCTGTGATTTTACAAAAAGCCCTTTTCTAAAGTGAAGTCTACCTAACTCAGAGTTTGTCCCTCCAAAATATTTAGGTTGGTACTACAGAGAAGAGAATGCAACACCATATATGTACATGTGGCTCTGTTCAATATAGCTCATGGTGAAATAAAGGTTCCAGCAACTAGCAAACCTTGCAAAATCAATTCATTTGCTCATCAGCAAGGAAGTATTCCTCAAAAGGCCAATTCATGTCTTGGCAGAAACCAGAGCGGTAACCAGGCAAACTTCAGAAGTGATTAATTTTATTTATTTTGGGGACAAAGACTTCATGATCTTCACAAGGCTGTTCGCTGTGCAAGCCATAAAAGGGATTCCTTGGAAGTATGTTGCAACCTTCTTCCGTTCCACATGCCTTGCTCTCCTTTCCCAGCGTACCAGGAGAAATGACAAGGACTGAACTTTCATCCCAAAATAATGTGACCAGGACACATGGCTGGATTCAGCAGCTGGGAATTACCAGCAGGTCCCACAGTACAGACTGAGACAAGCACTGTTTCTTAATGCTACCAACATAGGAAAAAAAAAAACCAAAACAAAACAGTGCTATCTGTAGAAGATAAAATAGCATAGGTAACTAGTTTACCAAGCTTGCATGCTAAGACAACCAGAAATACACTAACTCTGTTGTTCAATGGCTTAGTTGCTTATTCTTCAGCATAATTTGGTGTCAGAAAGAGGACTAAGTGCCCAGGGAGAGATGTGGCCACCAGAAAGTGAGAAGTACCACTTACCTTGAGATTAGTGGCATGAGG